CAGGAGCAGCACTGCTACTTGCCTTGAGAGCAACAAGGATTTCCTCTGGTGTTATTGGGTTCCCTAGTTGCTGATTAACTGGATCACGGTCGCGAATTGGGCGGCGGTCCGGCGATGTGGGTCTAGAGAATAGTGCTTCCCAGAATGGAAAGAGACGGGCTGGTTCCACCTCCGTGGGGGTAACCTTCCAGTCTCCGGAAAGGACGCGCGCAGCAGCTTTTGAACGATCCTTCTCGTACAGGCTCTGGCACAGAACATACTGTGCCCTTCGTTCCCTCTTGCGTCCAATCGGAGGTTGGGTTGGATCGGCACGGTTTGTTGGGGGGGGTCTCTGCCGACGCGCAGGGCGGGGGCGCAGTGCGTGGTCACCAGATCTTTTGGCTGTAGTAACCACCCGAGCATGGCGCTCGAGGATCCTATCCACGTTATGGCCGTTACCACTGACCAGGTCAGTGATTGCCTCGTCGAGGAGTTCCTCCCCCCATCCGGTTTCCTGGCCCCTGGGTGCGATAGCTGCAAGGAATTCGACCATAGTTTCCTTCCAAGCAGCTTCCAGGGGGGTCCCGTCAGGGGGGGGCATGTCGGGATCAGCTCCGTCGGGGGCGCCCACCGCCGCCCTAACGTTACCTCTCCGTCCACGGTTCCTCAACGGGCTAGGCTGTTCGTCCTCCCTGTCTGAGTTAGACAGTGATGACTCTGAGCCCTCGCCCTCCGCTCGGTTTCTGTACTCCGCCACCAACTCTCTGTACTCGGCCCTCTTCCTTTGGCTCTTAATGGACTCAAGAGTTCGCGAAGGAAAGCGCTGTTGCAGCCGCTGGTTCATACCTTCCCGGCCGGCCTGGGGTCTACCCTCCAGCCTTACCTCTTCCATTGCCAGGAGGCGTTTTTCCTCATCGGTCCACCTTGCTTTGGGCCTACCCGCTCTACTCGCGGCCTCTTCAAGTTCTTGATGGTATTGAACCTTGTGCATGCGACTTACGTGAACGCCCATAGCTCTATAGTCACGAAAGGATCTGCCACAATTAGGACAGTCTGGCGACCGATCATTCATAGCCGGATCGTCATGTAGGTCACCCATCGTGCTGACAGGGGTCAGTACGTCTCCGTAATGGTTTTCACAAAAGTTTATGGGTTACAAGGCGCGAAAACCCTTGACAGGGGCAGACGTCCTTCAGGATTGCTCAAACCAAGTGTCACTGACAAATGGCCCCTACTGCAGGTAGACGGAAGGTCCCCTTAGAGCAGCAGCAGGGGGGGATGCCCTGGCTGTTTGTGGAAACAGGAGCGCCTCGTGAAGGCCAGCCAGGGACTTCACACAGCTACCGCAAACGAACGATAGCTGTGCACTACGTACTTTCTGAAGTATATACAGTCGGAAGCGAGGAGCGTCAGAATGCAGATACCGTGGGCGAAAGTCATAGTTACCGTTTAGTTTCCTCAACAAATTTCCCGCATTTTACATCGCCCTTGCGTACCCAGACGTTTTCGTCTGGCCGGTGTAGCCCGGTACAATTGTTCCCAGACGTTTCGTCCGGCTGGTATAGCCGGCACGTTCGTACCCAGACGTTTTCGTCTGGCCGGTGTAGCCCGGTACATCTGTTCCCAGACGTTTCGTCCGGCTGGTATAGCCGGCACGTTCGTACCCAGACGTTTTCGTCTGGCCGGTATAGCCCGGTACATTTGTTCCCAGACGTTTCATCCGGCTGGTATAGCCGGCACGTTCGTACCCAGACGTTTTCGTCTGGCCGGTGTAGCCCGGTACATTTGTTCCCAGACGTTTCGTCCGGCTGGTATAGCCGGCACGTTCGTACCCAGACGTTTTCGTCTGGCCGGTGTAGCCCGGTACGTCAATTCCACCACGTTTCGTTCGATCGCTGTAGCACAGTACTCCCGTGTTTTTCCTTGGTTGCGTGTACCAGATGTTGGTCTGCCTGGAGTGCCCGGTTATGCGGCCCCCTTCACCATCCCAAGTTTTCAGCGTCCAGCCTAATGCCTGGCCGTGCGGTCTGCCGCTTGTGCGACTTTAAATCAATTCAAATGTTTATTTAGGTAAGGTACATACATACAAGAGATTTTACAAAGAGTGATGGATTTAATTCTAATTATTGCGGTCATTTATTATTTAATTCTCTTCAATTTATTACATTCCTTTATTTAGGCTTTCAGCTTGATTAGTTTAATTACGCGGCAAATTTAGGAAATTTATAGCATTGCTTACACCTCTTGCCTTAAAAAAAAAAAAAAAAAAAATATATATATATATTTTCGTAAAAGAATTCGTATTTTCATGTCAATTTAGTGAACGGGAGCCCGCTCCTGTATTGGTGATTTATGTTCCCCCATCATTAACTACACCCTTACTCAAATAACTTGCTATATTCTTAGTCTTTCAGTCATGACGCGTATTAAGACTTGCCTCATTTATTCTTCAAGTTATTCCTCAATTTAGCATTGCGCAAGCCTCTGGATTTAGATCCTTTAGTTTTAGAGGTAATTAGGTATTCGTTTCAATGTCAATTTAGTGAATGGGAGCCCGCTCCTGTTTTGGTGATTTACGTTCCTCCATCATTAACTAAACGCTTACTTCAATAACTTGTTATATCCTTAGTCCTCCAGTCATCACGTGTATTAAGACTAAAGTTATTCCTCAATTTAGCATTGAGCAAGCCTCCGGCTTTAGATTATTCCTGCACTTGATTTATGAGTCAATTACCCTCAGCAATTTGTTACCGCAATTTATGCATTGCGTTTGCTCCACGTTTTATTTAACTTTTGTGCCGCAATTATGTATGTGTAACTGCCGCTTTTGTCATTGAGTTTTAAGTTAAGTCAGCTAGGACGAGCTAGTTAGGTTATACTATGGGGTCTTTCAGTCACGACGTGTATTAAAGACTTTCAGTTTTTCTGATCAGGGGGAGAAAGATACTGGCAGTATGGGGCTTTAAAGTTTATTGAAGATTAAATTCTGCAGAACATGTAAATATATATAAAGTAAGAATTAACAGTAACAATTCCAAGTCCGAGGACTAGATTTAACTTAAAAGGTACACCCGTAGTAATTATGAGACCTTAGCCTATATTGACATGGAAACTAATTCTGCAGAAACCTAAAGCTTAACTGGTACTAGAATTAAGGCCGAGTGCAAAAGTGTAGTAATTATATAACACTAGGATATAACAGGCAGGACACAAAGAGTAACTAATAAGTGAAAGACAACATAACACATAATGTACCCGACCAAGAGGCCGTAAAGACCTAATGAATAAGGAGAAGGGGGGTGACTACAAGTAGGGCTTACTAGCACCTAGACTGGGCAAAGTATTAGCTGCGGACAGCGGGACACTTGGGGACCGGCGCTGCACCCCCCTTCCCACATGCAGTGGGGAGACAAGGGGGACAACTGTGCAAAGCATGACGGGGGTACAAAGACAGCCGCTTGCAAAGGGGAGGAGGGTGGGCTTTGCGAGGGCAGGCGGAGTGAGGGCAGAGCCCCTCTGTTCCCCCGTATTTATACGGCCCCAAACTGCCCGCGCAACGCCGCGGGACGCGCTGCGCAAATGTTTCTTTCTCCCCCATCAGAAACATCCCCGCTTTGCGAAGCAGTGGCCATTTTCTGATCAGGGGGAGAAAGATACTGGCAGTATGGGGCTTTAAAGTTTATTGAAGATTAAATTCTGCAGAACATGTAAATATATATAAAGTAAGAATTAACAGTAACAATTCCAAGTCCGAGGACTAGATTTAACTTAAAAGGTACACCCGTAGTAATTATGAGACCTTAGCCTATATTGACATGGAAACTAATTCTGCAGAAACCTAAAGCTTAACTGGTACTAGAATTAAGGCCGAGTGCAAAAGTGTAGTAATTATATAACACTAGGATATAACAGGCAGGACACAAAGAGTAACTAATAAGTGAAAGACCACATAACACATAATGTACCCGACCAAGAGGCCATAAAGACCTAATGAATAAGGAGAAGGGGGGTGACTACAAGTAGGGCTTACTAGCACCTAGACTGGGCAAAGTATTAGCTGCGGACAGCGGGACACTTGGGGACTGGCGCTGCACCCCCACCGCAGGCCAGCGGCCGGACCCTCCCCCGAAGGGCGAGTGCCAGCTGGCCGCGTGAGGCACTCAAAGTGGCAGAGCAACAACGTCCCGCCTGACTTAGGATGTGAAAGCACTACTCTTCCACCTGCCGACTGCCATTATTTCTGAAGTGGCGAGCCCGTCCCGAGACAGCTGGGTGGCCCTGCCGATACGGAAGGAATGCGGCGCGTAGTCATCTGGAGGCAAGCCTAGCGCTGAGAGGGCAAAGCGTAGGATCCTGGAGAAATCTCGCCTGGTGACAGGAGCGCCTGCGGCGTGTTTGAATATGGGCCCCGGGCCCAGGCCCCTGTAATTAAAGTATTTAGACAGAGCACGGACCGGGCAGTACTTGCTGGAAGGGTTCGCTCTCAGGGAGAGGGTGGGCGTGCGCCCTGCGCTGTGCTTGTAGGTGTTGAAGGCGATATCTATTCCTGCCGTCGTAAGTGATACTTGCTCAAGGCTGAGCGTGTGTCGTCCATGCTCCATGTAGACCGCCTCACCCGGGCGTAGGCAGGCGTGGAAAGCCAGGGAGAAGAGCGCCCTGTAGCAAGACTTCTCGTAGGCAGAGTTACATACGCCTCCCAGTGCCCGCAGCAGGCGATGCAGGAGGCTCCTCGTCACAGGGAGACGCCGTGCAGGGGCCCGCTGAGCGGAGTTACGTGCCCCTTTGAGGAGTTGGGTGACCAGGAACTGCCGAGTTGGGTGACCAGGAACTGCCGAGTTGGGTCCCTCCTACCGTGTAGCTTGCAGACGAAGGCAATGGCCGCTAGATAGGCGTGCAGTGAGCGGTAAGCCAGGCCCCGCGAGAGCAGGGATTGCAGGAAGTTCACCAGAGTCGAAGGTGCAGCATCAAAGGGGCATTCTCCTCACCGCCCTGCCGAGACGTAGGCGGCGTACTCCACCCACTTAGCCCTGTAAGTACGCCTCGTCGCTGGCTGCAGGGAGTTGAATAGGGTCCTCACAGTTGCAGGGTGAAGTTGCAGGGCAGGAGGTGCGCAGGAACTGTTGTCGGCGTCTCGGCGAGGCCTGCTTCTCGCAGGAACAAGGGCGGCAGCGTCTGTAAGCGGGAAAGAGCATCACAAACCCCGTTAATTTTCCTGGGAGGTGGGAGGGTAGGAGTGTAATGTTATGGATGAGTAAGAGCACTGCCAAGGGCCTGACAATTTGCATTAGTAGGGGGCACCTAGCAGAGAGTGTGTTGAGCACGCTTACCACTGCACTGTTGGCCGATTTGCACACCAGCCTCTTATTGGCCAATACCGGGGCGAAAAGTGCTATACCCATGAAGAAAGGGTAGAGCTCGAGCAAAGCAATGTTGAGCCGTCCCCAGACCTGCGGCCACGTTCCCCTGAACCAGGCTGCCCCTAACGTTAGTCCATACCCCTTGGAAGAAGCATCTGCACACATTGAAAGTGATGGAGCGTTTCCCCACCCGCCATCTGGGGGAAAGACTGTTACTCCATTGAAGTCAGTGAGGAAGGAGCGCCAGGCGACGAGATCGAGCTTAGCCTCAGCGTCCAAATGGCATAGGCGCGAGGGGCGCTGTGGGCCTCGCGTAAGCGGGTGCAGACGACGCAAGAAGGCCCGGCCTCCCGGGATTACCGCGGTGGCGAATTGCAACTTCCCAATGATCGCCTGCAGGTCCCGGAGGGGGATGCGCTCCAGACTCAGCGCGGCTTCCACCGCCGCCGTGTACTTCGTTCTCTTGTCCTCTGGTAGTCTTGTTTCCATCTTGTGAGCGTCAATCTCCAGCCCCAGGAACGTGAGGCAGGAGCACGGGCCCTGTGTTTTGTGAGGAGCCAAGGGGACCCCCAAACGCTCGCAGAGGGCAGTGAACACCCTCAGGCTTCGCTGGCACTCGTCGAAAGTGAAACTGACGAAGAGGAAGTCGTCCAATACCTTCACAACGTCGCGGACCCCAAACTTCTCGGCGAGGATCCATTGCAGGGCACTGGAGAAGAACTCGAAGATCCGGCAGGAGGGGGCGGCTCCCATGCTGAGCATCTTCTCGTAGTAGTACTTGCCCCCATAAGAAAACCCCAGGAGATGGTAGTCGCTCGGGTGTACTGGGACGATCCTGAAAGCTTCTGCGATGTCGCACTTTGCCAGTTGAGCCCCCGGGGACCGGCTGACAACCATTGTCACCGCATCATGGATAGACTGGTAGGTGACGGACGTCGATTCCCGGGGGATGTTGGCGTTCACACTGTCAGGGGAGTAAGGGTAGCTAAGGTTGAGCAGGAGGTGGTACTTGCCCGCCATAGACTTCTCGCTCAGTGCTATGGGCGAACACTTGAAATTCTTGAAAGGGGGGCGACGTGCCTAGCTGAGAACTCGCCTCACACGGCAAGGACCCCGTGGCCTACCAACCACGCGCTGCCACACGGCATGCTCAGGGCCTAGACGAAAGGGAGTGGGGGGGTGGGCCGTATACAGGCGCGCCCGTACGGGCGCAAGGCAGCCCGAGCCCCGACGTGGGGAAGCCGTGGCGCAAAGCCACGTGGATTAGCACCCAAATAAGGGAACAGGAAGGGCAGAACACAGCCCAGCCGTGCGCTCCACGGAGCGCCGTGCCACGTGGCAGCACGACCAGGCGTGTGCCCCGTAGCAGGCCCGGGCGAAGGGCCAGCACCTGGCCACGCGTCGTCGCCAGCGGCGACGCTTGTCCGCTCAGGGAGACCCAACCCCTGGGGACAGCCCAGGGAAGCCGGCAGACCGGCAACAGGGAACAGCCCGAGGGAAAAACAGGAAAGACGCAGGAGCGCGCCCTGCCGGCCAGGCACGTGACGACCCAGCAAGGCAAGCATGGGCCCCAAGGCGGGGCCCGCCATAGGTCCGCCCACGCCTGGCCACGTGTCGCCGCCGCCGAGAACATGCGCCCCAGGCGTAGGACCGAACCTGGCCACGAGCCGTCGCCGACGGCGACATCTGTCCTCGGACAAGGAGAAACCTGGCCCCCTGGGACAGCCCAGGGAACCCGGCGGGCCGGCAACAGGGAGCCCCGAAGGAAAGGCGGGAAGGACGCCGAAGCACGCCCAGACGACCAGACACGTGGTCGATGGCGGCGAGGCATGGGCCCCAAGGCAGAGCACAAAGGGCGTAGGGCCCACCACGCCTGGCCACATGGCGACGCCGGCAAGGGCACGCCTGGCCGCCGACGGGGCCCTGGGCAGGGCGCGCGCCTGGGCACGCCACGCTGCGGGGCCCCCTGGGCACGTACGGGCACGGCTGGACGGTGCCCCACATGAGAGGAGACCGAACGCAGGCCACTAGGGACGCGGCCCGGCGCACGCCGACCCTAAGCCAGCCTCGCGACCTGCACGGCACAGGGTCGCCCGACGCGGGCCCAAGGAGGGCCCCCCAGCTCTCCCGGGAACTAACAGCAGAGAGCCCAAAGGACTAACTAATGCGGCACACACGTACCGCGAGGGGATGGCGCTTGGCACACGCCGCACTGGGGAGGTCCTGACTAGAATTGAACAGAAAACCTCACCTTGGGGTTAAAAGTGTAGGGCAGGAGGCCCCTGCCGAAACGGTCTGGGGTGTCGAGGGCCCCATGATGTCCGTGAGAGAGAGGTCAGGTACCGAGGCAGCTGGCTTGTTGTCCATCTCGTGCGAAGTCGGGCGGCCGGGGAGTGGTTGCGAGGGCAGCGGCGAGGGCAGGAGGAGTGAGGGCAGAGCCCCTCTGTTTCCCCGTATTTATACGGCCCCAAACTGCCCGCGCAACGCCGCGGGACGCGCTGCGCAAATGTTTCTTTCTCCCCCATCAGAAACATCCCCGCTTTGCGAAGCAGTGGCCATTATTCCTCAATTTAGTCGGAAGGTACTGCGGCTTCCCAGCCGACGTCCTTCCTGTGACGAGTTAAGCCGGCGAAGTTTTCAGTTTTATATTTATTTGGTCATATAAATAGGTGGCCTCCCAGGCCGCTGGTTTCTCCAGACGTGTTGTCTGCACGGCGTAGGCCGGATGTCACTGCGGCCTCCCAGGCCGCTGGTTTACCCAGACGTGTTGTCTGCCCGGTGTAGCCCGGATGTCACAGCGGCCTCCTAGGCCGCTGGTCGCGAAGTTCCAGCTGAAGCCTTCCAGCCGAAGTGTCTTTTTTTTCACTCCTTTTCGTTAATGTATTTGGTTGTATTTACCTCTGCTCAAAGTGTTAATCCCGTTTCTCTAACGAGTTATAGTCCAGCTTTATTTTGAGCATACTTTGTTTTGCAATTTAATTATTTATAATTAGTTATAATTAATTATAGTTATAATTGGTTTATAATTTTATTATTTACACCATTTATTTACGATTATTCATATAATAATTTATTACATTGTTAGGCTTTTCCAACGACGTCGTCCCAGCCGGTGTTGTTCCTGCAGAGGATGGGCCAGCTGGTGGCTCGGCCGTAGCTGTTGCAGCGGGCGCCCTCACAGATTCAGCTAGTTTCAGCAGACGATGTTACAGCTGCTAACGCCCCAGTTCCATCTTAGGCTTCCCGACAGCCGATGCTTCAGTCATGAACCTCCAGCTGAAGCGTTCCACCCGACGTTGCGCCCATCAATTTAACACTCTTTTCAGTTTTGTAATTCTCGCTTTCCCATGCAGCTTCATGAATTGTTCCCGTTATTTCTAGGACAGTTATATTCCAGTCTTTAGCCTAAATTGTCTTGCGGCTGGCCCTCTACTTACCACTAAGGTCTTCCCTGGTGGCCAGTTGCCGCTATTTTCCTCCCTTTATCAGATGTTGATGCTCCAGCTGTCGATGTCCAGCTGCAGGTGCCCAGCCCCGATGTTCCAGCCGCTGATGGCAGGATTTTGCAGTTCAACATTCGGCAACGGTCGTTAAGTTGATCCATTATTTTGCACAATTTTGACTATTGGTGTTTGTGTTATACACGCTACGTTAATGTGGGTTTAAGGTCCAGGTACTACCCACGTGCTTAATTCTTTAACTTATAAAAAATCCCGTGCTTATTGTATTTGAGTTATTAACTAAGCCAGCTAGGTTGTGCTAGTTGCCGTGTCGCAGGCCTCTTGCCTCTTGCTTCAGTTTCCCTGGCTTCGCATTTTCCACTAGCCTACTCACTTTATTCCCGCTCAGGATGCTTTGTTTTATTGCACGTGTCTTTTACTGTGTTTACAGTATGTTTGTTTAACTTTTGCTTTGCCTTAAGTTATTAAGTAAAGTCAGTTAGGACGTGCTACTCGCGGTGTTACGGGCCCTTGTCTCCTGCTTTAAGTTTCAGGCCCTGCATTTATGTTTAGTTTCCTCTGTAAATTATTACTGTTATTACGGGTAGCTTTGCGGCATATTTGTTGTTTCTCCTGGTTACGTTATGTGGTTTATCATTTACGGCCTAAATGTTTACATTTACCCTATCACAGTTTAATTCAATTGATGCCCTCCCAACACCAGCTGCAGGTTTTACTTCCCGGTGGAATTTTATGCTTGTTCGCTCGACTTTGTTTAAGTTGTTAGGTAAGGCCAGTTAGGCCGAGCGAGTGGCTACTCGCCGTCTCGGTTATCTCTACCTTAAGCTTTGACGCCCTGGCGTCGTGCGGTACGCCGTTTTGGTGATTTATAATTTATATTATTTGTGAACAATTTTAAAATATATCTCATGACTGCTAGACTTTCAGTTATGAGTTGTATTACTTCCGCAATTTATAGCATTGCTTTTGCCTCGTGCCTAAAAATTCATGCCTAAAAAAAAAAAAAATACTGCGGCGAGGAAGAGAACGCGAGCCGGATATTCCTCTTATCACCATTACAACACACGCAGCGGTGCCGGGTTGCAGCCGCCCAGGGCCTACGTTAATACTATTATCTTCCCTTATTTGCTGGGCTATATGGTAGTATTAATATTATTCCGTATCGTTACTGTCATTCCAGTATTATTTTATTAAAAAAATAAATTGTTATTATGGTTTGGCGTTGCTTTCTTAATTTCTTCCATTCTGCGGCACTTGCCGTCATCGGTTATTTACGATATTACATTGTATTCTTACATTGTACGATTATTTACGACATGTATTCTTAATATTATTCCTTATTACAGTTACTGGATGACGATTCCCTGCCGTCGATTTCACTTTGCCCCTGTTCTAAAAGATGTAGCCGAAGTTCACGGCGTACTAGCTGCGGCTTGCAGACGCTCATTGACAACACAAGACTACACTCAGCGGCCACTTAAGGGAGACTCCTTGGCTTCTATCCAGCCCTATCACCCGTCTGGAGGCAGAGATGGGATGGAGACCAAGGGTAATGTTCCCCGCTCACATTCTACATCCGCTTAGGACACAAGCATGTTTTAGATTTGGCTTTAAGAATTGGTTCTTATTCCATTTTATTGTTTATGTATATATTGCTTTGTTGTATATACCCGTTCTTGGTATATGTATTGTTTATATTCAAGATTTATAGTGTTTCGTATTATCCCTGTTTATAGTTGCTTTGTGCTTCTTTGCTGTTCTCCTACTGGCTTTCTCCCACCTTTGCTCTTAGCAAAGGTACTTCCCCCTTCCGTTTGCTGGAAGATTCTTAGAATTGTTAGCCCCCTTCATTGCTACAGTATAATTATTCGGAAAACTCTTTATTCATCCAGGATTGTTAATTAAGGAATCTCTTAATTCCTGTGCCGGGCTCCCTCCCCCCATTTTTCGTCTCCGTATTGATTCAGCTAGGGTTTCCCTCTCGTCTGTGCTCTTGCCTGTCACGATAACACTGCATGCCGCTTCTGCCCACCCTTACTGCCTTATATCTTTCAGCCCGGGGGAGGTGATCTACGCGACAAAAAATCGACGCACGCTCCGACTGGACCAGGTATCGCTTACATGGTCATGCAGGAATCAACACTCTTCGGATCCTACAAGCGCAGTGCAGGACGCATGCATACCCTAGCCCAGCGAGTGCCCCCCGGCAAGTTCTACCCGGCCCGTGCCCCAGTGAACAGGCAACACTTCTTCAGGGCGATTAATTCGCGCCGCCCTCGCAGAGCTAGGCTCGCCTTCAGCCGACCACGCCCTCTTTCCTTTAGAATTGACAGGGCCACTCGGCTCTCTTGACGGGCTAGCCATCGGAGTTAACGGCGGGTCCAGCAACCAGCTGGAACACCCAGCTGACTACGTCCGGGACGTTGTTGCACTGCCACTCTGAGGCCTCCTTGTGACCAGCGGGCCTCGCCCTTCGGGGGCGTGGGGGGGGTCCGGCCAGCTGGCCTGCGGTGGGGGTGCAGCGCCGGTCCCCAAGTGTCCCGCTGTCCGCAGCTAATC